AATTTTAGAAAAACTCCTATTGAAAATAATTCTTCCGGTTCTAAATTCTCAAAACGTAATCCCAGACCATCAATTTGGTTTTCACAACCGTCACTCAACTGTCCAGCAGTGTCACCGCGTGGTAGACATTATTTCCTCCTCCCTTGCGATGGGACAGTACTGTTACGGAGCTGTTTACTACCATCACAGAGTAGTAATACTTTGATTGAATATAAAAAATATCTTTTGCATTGTATAAATTTACTTTTTTCCACATCCTAAATGTATTTGTTAAATGTAAACAATGTTTGTAAATCCTAGGCCCTGAAGATGATCTCAATAAAGATCGAAACATTGGCACGATAAAGAAAATGTTTTTCTGAAACCTACATCACACCAGACCGCATCTCACGATTTCCGAATAATCACACGATATAGAGTTCTTGCACGATTTCTTGACAAACGTTCTAATTTACCTCTCAAAAATAAAAGGCTGCTTTACAACACCATAATTAAGCCGATTTGGACTTACGGACTGGAAGTGTGGGGTTCAGCCAAACATTCCAACATCCACCGCATTTAAACTGCACAGTTTTTAATACTACGAAAAAAATTAGATGCTCCATTTTATGTATCGAACCTAACTACACATCCCTTTCGTACAAGATGAAATACGTTTCCATTACCGTAAATTTTCATAAAAAACCTTCCAACTAACGTAAATCAGCACATCAGAAATCTCCCATCCCGACGAATCCTCTCAAATCCTCCCCGCGGACTGAAGAGACAATGGCCGCAAGATCTCCTAGGAAGTGATGGTGATAACCGTGAAAGTGATAACACACGAATCAATTAAGCAGACAATATTTTAGTAACATTGGAGTACCAATGGGTGTTTTCTCCACTCTTGGTTTTAATTTTCTATGTATTACCTTGCTCACTGTTACTTGTTACCTACTTTAAGGTAGTTGTAATGTACTACAAATTAAAAAAAAAATTATTCGTTCTATGTTCATTTGTGTATTTATTAATTTTTCTCGAAGTTAAAGAGAAACATAAAGAGAGAACCTTTGAGGGTTCGCGGACCACAGTTTGGGAAGCACCGTGTTATTAATCATTGATCCGCACTCATCTTGAATATGTTTGTATTATCTGGAATTTATATCTTAAGACTGAGTTGAATTTTTCCAGCCTAGGGCTACTAGACACTTGTCTTTTAGATTCGGCACACCTAATTATTTTGGCTATGTTGATGTGTTGCCAGTCTTACCTTCATATGGAAAATTCTCAGATCTCCTCTCCGGAGATTTCAAGTCTTGCCCTGCGAAATTCTCGAGGTCTTTTGGGAGGGGTTCTAACATTTTGGTGATTGGTGCGAGGCATTACTCGCTTAGCTATCTCGTCTTTTTGGGAAACTCAATTCCAGCTGATTGTGGTTTCTCCACAGACGCTTTTTATACTTAGAAAAAGATCTTTATTGCTGTTGTCAATCTGTTGTTTCTAAAGATGAACTTTTAACGTTCTAGTGTTTTATTTTTATCATATATCTTGTTAATTTTATTTTAGATTATACTTTTGATTATTTTTTGTAAGCTTGACTTTAATTTCCTGGTAGACTTATTATTTCCAAAAAGAGTTTAATTAAAATCTGAAATCGTATCGCCTCCTGTTGTTTATATTTAACAACATTACTTTATAAAAAATTACATTTCCTATTTTAAAAACAACGCGTACATTTCTCTTCGTTATTTTGCTAAACACACGAGGATTTGAAGTCCGTGAGTGATAACCGGCCTCGAAGCCGGCCGAAAACCGACTTTACCGCAAAGTTAAGTTATTCCAGGCAGTAATAATTTATCCGCATTGATCTAAAGCTGAAGTGGAGGGAGGGGCAATTTCGTATTAAGAGGATTGGTGTTGAAACCCGTCCATGTGAATAATTAAATTTATGCTTAATTTGTATTATAAGGTTTTATACGCGGGAGGAGGAGGAGGTCGCCTTAAAATTTTAAACTCGCTCACTACTTAAAGATTTAATTGTAATTTTGTTTTTGACTAAAATAATTAAAAATTTCGGTTATACACTTTATAATAACTTAATCAAAATATATAATAATATGATTTATTTTAAATGAATTTACCCCCCCCCCCAAAAAAAAAAAAAAAAAAAAAAAAAATTACGACATCATTATATAATAATTTTCATTTAAGTTTATTTAAGCACCAAGTTATAAAAGATTTTAACTGTCCATGGCTTTTTGATCAGCAATGGTTTTTTTGCTAAGTGTCTCCCAAGAGACTACCTACTTGAATTCAAATGAGAAGGTCCGCCATGTCAAGTACAACAGGTCGGTAATAAGTGTCACTTGGGTTATTCTGGATGTACGTTAAAACTTTTCCGCTTTGCTGAAATCCAGAAAGACGTTATACATTTTTTCCCTTAAATAGGATGTATTTGTTTTTGACTTTTACTTTGTCTATAGACGTTTATTGTGTGCGTTTCAATATTTAAGGAGGATTGTCTACGGAAAAGGGCGAAATATTTATCTAAAGAAAATAATTTCTATCGTTAAACCGTTGTGTTTTACTTATTTGCTTTGGCACGGATTTTACATATTCATAATTCTTTGAATTTTAAACTTCAAAAAGTCGTACAATCAAACAATTCTGAGTGGGGGAAATGTGTGCAATGTTAAGAGAAAAAAGGTAGATAAAATAAATGAAGAGCCTGAAGTGCCTGTTTAGCCGGATGCAAATCCTTAGTGGAGGTTGAACTCTGACCTCAGCTTTGAACTTTCGCCGTCGGACTTTTCGGGGGAAATTAAATCTGAGAACTGTTCCCGTGATTCTCACATCCCCGATTCTCTCCTGGTCCTCTTCACACAATCGATAAATAAAATAGGAAGCGGAACGGGACGTGACGGTGAGGGGGGAGGGGAAAATCCCTCAGAGCACATTCCCTGTTTGAGTCCCTTTTTTCATAACACTCTCCTTTTACCTTTGAAATGTTTTTTTTTGTTGCTCTTCTGCCCTTTTTATCAATAAGAAATGCCCATTTTGAAAATTTTATGACCCTAGGTTAAGTTTGATAGTATTGCCAGATCGGATTTGTCAGTTGAGACTAATTTACTCGTTTTTGCTTTTTTTGATAAGGAATATATTCTACTTTTGCGCTAATCATGTTTTTACAATGTTTATAGTTTTCATTGAATCAAAAACAAACTTCGTCTTTATTAATTTCTCACATAATGTTACTTCTGTCAAATACATTACAGAAAATTTGACAAAAATAATCTAGTAATAGTTAGTGTATATCAATAATTAATGTTCCTCCATAATTCCTATACACCAGGGGTGGCCAAGCTCCTTGATAGTCCGAGCCATTTTTCAAAATTTGAAATTTTTCGCGAGCCGCAATTAAATACGTATTTAAAAGGTATGCAAAAAAGGTATTAAATTTTTTTTTACAGAAATTATATTTATTGAAAACATATAAATAAAAGTACAAAATATGTGTATTGAATTTAAATATTAAAAATTAAACACATTTATTTTCCTTCTCTTGATAATTCTTTAAAATTTGGTGACAGCACTTCTCAGTAATTCTTTGAGATGCTGGTTAGTTAATACTGATACGGTGTTTGGATTTCACGAATTTTAAAGTGGAATAAAATGATTCACATAAGTTGTTCCGAATATTGAAATAATTCGACAAGCAGCCTTTTTCAATTCAGGATACTTCGATTCTGGTACAAATTTGCAAAATTCAGTAATCGACGTCGACTTATATTTTAATTGTAGAGCTTGATCTTCTTGCATCTCTATTTATTGTAATTATCCAGATGCTTTTTTGGTCATAATTATATTGGAAATGGAAAACTCACCTTGAATTATGTTAATTTCAAATGGATTCAGAAAAAATCAAGAGACGATTTAAAATATTTCAAGTCTTGAAATCTATTTTGGAATTCCGTCAATATTCCTTCTAGCTTTTTTATATACTCGTTGAGTTTTTCTTGTTTAATATTGGAACAAATTTTTTTAATTCGAGGAAAATGACAAAATGCTTTATTTTTAATGTCCTTTTGAAAAAGTTGTAATTTAGTTTGAAAACTAAATATACACTGTGAGAGGTCAAGTATTATTTTATCTTTCCCCTGCAATTGTAAATTCAGTGTTTGCAAACGTTCCATGACATCAGTCAAAAACATTAAGTCTTGTAACCACTCGTCATCGTCTAATTCTAATAGGTTATTTCCTTTTCTTTTAGAAATGCAGCTATCGGATCAAACAAATCTACAAAACGATTTAATAATTGTAGCTAGATAACCATCTAACAATGCAAAAGAAATTAATGTCATTTGGAAGTTCTCGTCCTTTAATTCTTCAAGGAAATTTTTGAATTGTCGATGATTTTTTGCGTTGGTGCGAATGTAATTTACAATGTGCAACACTGTTTTCATAACATCAGGATATTTTAAATATTTTGTAACGAGATGTTCTCGGTGAATTATGCAGTGAATCGTTATGAATTGTGGAATTTGAGCATCATCTCTTAAAAGCCCAATAAGACCGATTTTTTACCCAGCATTGCCGGAGCTCCATCAGTAAATTCAAAATCGGTCTGGAGTCGGTCGATTACGGACGATACCGTTACTGTTTATGTTCGTTCGCGCAGTTTTCGATGAGTTCGTTCTTAACTTGGTCGGAAATGAAATTTGTTACAACATTGCACTTAGTCTTTCATATTTGTTGTCAGTAATTTAAAAGACATTTTGAAACACATACGGAACGATAATAATTTTTAAAAATATAATAGCACAAAAATGAAAAGGGAACTCGGGTACATTTATCGAGAGCAACAAATAATCCTTCGAAGAGCCGCATGTGGCTCGCGAGCGGCACGTTGGCCCCCCCCTGCTATATACTTTTGTTTCTCAACAGCGTGGTTGTATAAAATACCTGAAGTTTAAGTGTCTTTCGGGGGGGGGGGACACCGATGAGATACAAAACTCACTAACCTTCATCTAAGTTGCTTCCGATGATGATTTCTGTCTCGGGGAAATCTCCTTCCGCGAGTAGCTCGAGAGGGTGCTTCGGCAGGAAGTTGCCGTCGATGGTCGGTGCCGAGGGGAAGTTGAGGATGCTGAAGTAGGAATTCCACTGATGGACCGATATCGACTTGGCGTCGACGGCCCGAAGGCAGGCCATCACACGAGACGGGCTCTCAGCCAGCTGAGAGACGTTACAGCCGCAATCTTCGACGAGGATTTTTCCTATTTCCAAGGCCCGTTCCCCGGTCATGAAGCTCCACGGGGCGTTGATCGTGCCGCTCTGCATTATGCCCCTCCTCGCCAACCCTCTCGTCACCGGAGATATCAAGTGAATCGACACCTTAAAAACAAAACCAGGAATAATAAAAATATCGCTTACAGTTTTTTATTAATTGCTATGATGAATTGGTCAAACTTACCGATCCCCCTCCTGCAGACTCGCCGAAAAGCGTGATGAGTTCAGGATCACCCCCGAAATTCTCTATGTTGTCCTTTATCCACCGGATCGCCATCGCCTGGTCCCAAAGCCCCATGTTTCCGGGGGCGTCATTACTTCCAGTCTTTACCAGAGGTTCCAAATAAAGAAAACCAAAAGCACCTAGAAGATTTGAGAACATTTTGTTTGAGAATGGTTGGACACTTTTCTTTAGCTCTTATTGATACAAAAATCGTTCAACTTAAGCTACGTGAAACCCTTCTTTTCTGCCACTCACTCAATCTCTCCCTTTGTCTCACTACCGTATTTAAACTTTTAAACATAAATAGATACAAATAAATAGAATTAGACGGAGAGCGTGGGAGCAAAGGAAGGAAGAAAGAAGAAGAAAGGGAAAGAGTGAGCAAGAAGAAGAAGTAAAGAATGAATAAAAGAAACAGAGAAAGAAAAAGAAAGGAAAGCAAGAACAAGTAAAAAAAGGACGACCAAATGAAAATAGATAAATATAGAGACAGTGTGTGTGAGGGTGAAAGTGACAAAAGGAGAGGGAGAGAAGAAAAGAGAAAGCAAGAGGATTAAAGTTAGAAAGAAAGACAGAGAGAGAAAGAGAAAGAGAGAGAGAGTTTTATTTGTTCGCGCAAAGTTAGGTTTCTAGAGAAAGATAAAGTGATAGTGGGAACGAGAGAAAAAAGAAAGAGAAAGAGCGAGCTACAGGGAGAACGAATGTCATAAAAAGAGAGAGGTTGAGGAAATAAAGTGAAAAAACAGAAGGTGAGAAAGAGAAAAAGGGAGATAGGTGGAGTGAAAGTAAGTAGGAAAAAGAGAAAGAGTGAGCAAGAAGAAGGAAGAGGAGGAGAGAGTGCGTCAGTTAGTAAGAGAAAGAAAAATACGAGAGAAAGAGAGAGAGTGAGAGAGTGAGTCAGTACAAGAGAGTGACATTGGGAGGGAGAGAAAGAAAGTTAGAAAGAAAGACAGAGAGTGCATGAGAGAGAGAGAGAGAGAGAGAGAAAAAGAGAGAAAGAGAGAGAGAGATAGAGGTAGAGATAAATAAATACAGAGAGAGAGTGAGAGACGGAGAGAAAGAAAGAGGGAGAGAGTGAGAGCGGCGGAGAGAGAGAGAGAGAGTTTTATTTATTCGTGTAATGTCTCTAGAGTAAGGTATAGAGATAGTGGGAGCGAAATAAAAAGACAATGGGTGAGCAATAAGGAGAACGAATGTAATATAAAGAGAGAGACTGAGAGGAATAAAGTGAGAAACAATAAAGTTAGAAAGAGAAAAAAAAGGATTTAGTTTTTGTGAGAGTTGTGGGAAAAGAGAAAGAGAGAACAAGAGGTCGAAGGAAAAAAATAATGAACAGAAGAGAGAAAGAAAGAGATTGAGATAAAGTGAGAAACAAGAAAAAAAAGAAAAGAAGAGAGAGAATGAGTTACTAAGAGAAAAATGAGAGAGAAAGAGCTCTCTCTCTCTCTTTGAGTGAGAGAAAGAAAGAAAGAAAGAAAGAGAGAGAGAGAGAGAGAGAGAGAGAGAGAGAGAGAGAGAGAGAGAGAGGTAGAGATAAATAAATACAGAGAGAGAGTGAGAGACGGAGAGAAAGAGAGAGAGAGAGAGAGAGAGAGAGAGAGAGAGAGAGAGAGAGAGAGGGAGAGAGAGTGATGGATAGAAAGAGGGAGATCAAGTGTTTTTAATTGTATTCAATTCTATAACTGATATTTACAAAAAATTTATTTCCTGACTCACAGAAAAATTGGGAGTTTATGCTAATATTAATGATTCTCTTCAGGGTAAATTTTAATCGTCAGATAACTGTTTGTTGTTTTAATTTTTTTCATCAAAAAATACGTTCCACTACAAAGATACTTTGATCTTTAGACAAAAATCAGGCCATTTAAATAAAACCAACTGTATAACATTTTATAAAAACACATTAAAAAACGCAACTAATTTCACATGTACAGAATGTGTGGCTTTTAAACGTAGCTAATTATGATTTTGTCAAGTATATGATTAAAATTTGTATTATGCTCGGGTTCAAACAGATGTCCGAGGCAAGCAGGAGTGTTTAGATTTAATATTGTTGAACAATGATAAACCTCTGTAATAATCTCGTTCGCGCACCCACCGGCACAAGCACACTCTGGTAATTACAACAATTACGATAATGTAAAGTTAAAATCCACGTTTTTTTTAGGAGGGGGTAGTTTTGAGAGCAGAAAATTCATTAAATAAGGGAGAAAAATATTACAAATTACGGAACATTACTGAGCGCACGTCAAAAATTTGAAAAGATTTTATTTATCTCTTATTGAAACGTGAAAAAATGCCAGAAGGATGCAAAAATAATAACAAACATCATTTTTACTTTCGATTTTGTTTTCTGCAATAATTACAATAATTTATTTCGTTAAACTGTATTTAAAAGCTTAAAATAATGATTCCTGGTGTTTTGAACAAAGGAGATTTTCGGAGTTTGGTTAAATATCCAAGTACCAAACTTTATAATTTATTAATTAATAATTTATAATGTGGAGTTGGATTTATGTAAGCTTAAATCTGCACATATGTACATATACAGAGTTTAGCTGACAGTCAACAGCTAGGTCAGTCAATTCAGCTCCCAAACCCATTTGCGCTCTCCGTCACTGTTAAATACCTTCTTTTGTATTTACACACCGTTCACTCATTTAAAGTAGAGGAGTACTTGACATTCCTTCATCACTCTTTACAAATATTATGTAACTAACCTAATGGTCGATGGGTACTCAATATTCCCTCTTACATTGCACATTCACACCAATAAATACATTCACTCCTAACACGCTACGAACACAAAACTATCATCACTATACCTATATAATGAAAAAAACCTGTTTCCACCAATAAATCGATGCCGTGCTCAAGCACGATTCTCATATTGAGTGGCATGCCTACACGCTCTTTATATAGAGCCAAAGAGTTGCACGCTCCAGTTAGGTGGGACACATCGAGCAACTTTTCCCTACATGCCGGATACATACCCGGGTTTGGCTCATAAGTAATTGTTAGTGTGGCTACCTTGGATGGCTCATCCTAAATCGGGATCTGAACCATACACGATTCGGATTTTTCGAGGGCACCTATCGAATGTGCTTTCGATCCATGAAAGCTTCTCTTCCGATTCGGCCTACGACGGCACTTTCATTTAATCATATTTAAAAAAATTCGGTTAATTCATAAAAAATTAGTATTTTATCCTCAATTTATTACCAACAAAAACGACTACTAGGAAGATGTTTTTAAAAATTTTATTTTGAAAAAAAAAAGATGACCTAAAAATCTCTAATATTTTTAGTTGTCTTCTTCGTTGGTTATTATCTTAAATTTTAGATGTATATTTTTTATCACATCAATTTCTTCAAGGAGCAAAATTGTATATCTTTTAAATGTAATTTTTTATTTCTTGTCCAATAAAGAAATTTACTTTTTTAATATTATTTTTGTCGAGTTTTCTTTATTAAGGATACTTAAAATATTCTATATTTCTGTTTATAAGATTTCACATGCAAAAAATTAATTCTTAACAAGCTACATCTCAAATTCAGGGTAAAATTAATATTATTTTAATTTATTAATGGCATCTTTAAAAACCAAATAGGTTTTTCTATCTTGTCAGGTTTCAGTTGTGATGTACCTTTATTGGGCTTTTGCCAGATTCGACCAAAGTGTGTGCAAAATGGAAATTTTTAGTTCTGAATTTAGGCCTTTCTTTCATAATTCGATTTTATTAATCGACAATGCATAATTTCAAATTTAAGGGATAAATGCGTATTTGTCAAGAATCAAAAACAACCAAACTACAAAAGAAATATAGCCTTATTTTGGTACACATATTCCAGGATTGTGAATAATTGTGATATTTCCTTCAGAATTTTAACCCGAGATTTATCCTGACATATTTATTGCCGAAGGGGCCAGTGAAACAGTGCATGATCGATATCTTTAAATAGGATATCCTTGAATGAAAGGCCCGCTCATTCAAAAAATGTCAACATCTTCCTGTCGAACGGCAGATTAATTATCTTCCGTTGTTAAAGGCGCCATTGATTAAACGCAAGATGTTGACATAATTTATTAATAAATTTTCTTTTAAAAAGGTATTTCAAAAAATCTGAAAGCTTTCAATCGTTACAAGAAAACACCGACTTAATTATGAAAGAAAGGCCTAAATTCAGAACTAAAAAAGAATGAAAGTGAGAGAGAGAGAAAAAGAAAGTGATGTATTGATATACTGGAAATTGAGAGGCACAGATGCAAAGATAAGAGGAAGATAGATATAGAAAAAGAGAGAGAGAGAGGGAGAGNCAGAGAGAGAGAGAGAGAGAGAGAGAGAGAGAGAGAGAGAGAGAGAGAGAGAGACTGATGTATTGATATACTGGAAATTGAGAGGCACAGATACAAGGAAAAGAGGAAGATACATAGATAAGGAGAGAGCAAGAAAAAAGGAAGAATGAAAGTGAGAGAGAGAGAGAGAAAGAGAGAGAGAGAGAAAGAGACAGAGAGATGAAGAGAGAGAATTAGATGTTGAAATTACTTTCACAAGCATCAATTAAGGAATTCCTATTAAAAATTTGCTTTGAGCAAAAATGAGGTAATTTAGAAAAACACGTTTTCATTTTTTGCCTATGTTTCGAACTTTATTCATGTGATCTTCAGCGCCTGGGAAAATTATAAAACATATGTTATTTGGAGAAAATTTACCCAGGACCGAAGATGATCCGAATCACGGTCGAAATGTCGGCAAAAAAATGAAAAAGGTGTTTTTCTAAACTACCTCATTCTTGACCGCTCCTCACGATTTCAACAACTTATGAAACAACAGGTCACTAAGAAACACACATTGTAGTCAAAGGATGCTTCCAATCGTTTCACTTTGGCCCGTTCGGTCTCGCCCAGCTCGCTAAATAGATGCATTCCGCCGCTCGTTATTGAATCAACGATGAGAACCGTAATGCTTTGGGGTGAGGCCGGCTCCCTTTAAATCGCATTAATCCGAAGGTAAACCGAGCAGGGATAAACGCGTTAGCCGTGTATAAACGCCCCAATGAAATCCTGAGCCCGGTAAACACCAATTCATCAAAAGTCTTTTTTCCTGAAACATTCGCTATATAACTTCACTAGTTTTCGTGGTCCGCTTGATCTATTAATATTTTTCAATTAATTAAGGTTTTTAGTTGAGATAAAAAAGTCAGTGTCACGAGCGGGATTCGAACCCACGACATTCGGCTAGATACGCCGCTTCTCTAGCCTTTCTGTGCCTCTCTGCTTTCCCTCCTTTTTGCCATTTTTAATAAAAAGGAGGGAAAATTCCGGATTGTTGCGAAACAACTTAATGTGAGTAGGAACCATCTTTCTTAAAAAGGATTGAACTCCACACTCACCCCATCATTTATAATTTCTACAAATTACTTATTTCAATTAATTGAAAAATGGCAACAAGGAGGGAAAATTGAAAGGTTGTAGATTGAGATGGGAAGTTAGTGTCCGAGTGGACGAAGTCACGATAGTTCAAGTGGAAGAGCAGCGGCGTATTGAGCCGAAGGTCGTGGGTTCGAATCCCGCTCATGACAATGACTCTTTTACCTCAACAAAAAACCTTAATTAATTGGAATATAAAAATAATTTTCATTGCCCTCTGCTGTTTTTTAATCTCTAAATATCATAAAAAGGTATTGTAAATAAAATTGAAGAAACCCATTTTTGTCATTTTTTGTATGTTAAATTCAAATTAACAAATAACAGATAATTAAGTGGAGCTATGTATCTCCTCCCCTGAAAAAGGATCATTTAATCATTGTCACCTTCTATTCATATTTTAACCATGACCTAGATATGATCAAATAGCCCCAAAATTCTATTACCGCTATGTTTTTCTTTCTCATTCTTTGTATTTCGGTTATCGAAAGAACATAGACTTTGTAAAGTGTTTTAGACATTTCAAGGAACGGATCAAATAGAACGAAAGTCAAAATTCTCACCTATTCTATACTGCATTGATGCAACTATGACGTCACTGGTCGCAGCTACCATCAATCCATCGTAGACGTCCAATGTTGCAGTACCGCTCATGTATCCACCTCCATAGATCCAGATCAACACCGGCACCTGGAAAATAGAATTTTGAAAATTTGAATTTTCCCTATGTTTACTTTATATTTGATTGTAGAATTAATAATGCGCTGAAATTGTTTCAGTTAATTGATCTAAACATGCGCGATTGACCATTTTGCGATTATAAATTTAATTTTGCTAAAAACATAAAAATAAGACTGAAATATGCGGATTTTTTAAATGTTTAAAATATTAAAGAGCTTGCTATTAAAGAGATGTTATAAATTAATCTTGGATCGATTTGATAGATAAGTCGAGGGCAGAACGCCTCATTTTGATATCCTTGGGAGTTCGCGTGTTTCAAATCGCGGGTCTACGGATAAAAAAAAATCCTTCAAGACTTCTTCCTCCCCAGAGCAAATAATTCGTGTAATACTTAAAAGGTGAAGACAGTTCAAAGCATTGATTTATCATGGGCTGACCGATCTCTTGTATCCGTGTTTTTTACGCGATGAAGATCCCTGGCTCCCCAGGCCGGCATTACGGACGAATTCTCGTCTAATCCCAAGCGTATTGTAAAAACTGACAAAAAAAGTACTTCCGTGTCCAAACCGCATTAAAACCGCATACTTTTTCATTTCAACAGGATTTACACCACCGGCCGGATGACTAACGTTTAATCGTTATCGAATCACCCACTCTTTCAGCTCGTGCAATTTTATCAAGTCGAGCGATTACAGAAACCCTGTCAAAATGTTTTTTTAATTATGTGTGATGTTTAGTGGCCGTTAGGCAATGATTATTTGGTGATCGTGAGGTGCGGTCTGGTGTGATATAGGTTTATGAAAAACTTTTTCTTTATTTTACCAACGTTTCGATCTTTATTGAGATCATCTTCAGGGTCTGGAATTTATAAACATTGTTTAAAGTTTACAATACGTGTAGGATGTGAAAAAATTAATTTGTACAATGCTAGAAAATTTTAAAGGAAAAAAAATGAATTTATACAATTCTATACAAGTTTAGATTAAAAATAGAATGAATTTGTGCAATGCTAGAAAATTTTAGCTTAAGACAAGGAATGAATGTTTACAATGCTAGAATATTTTAGATTAAAAAAATGAATTTATACAAGACTATAAAATTTTATATTAACAAAAAGAATGAATTTATACAAGACTATAAAATTTTATATTAACAAAAATAATGAATTTATACAATACTAGAAAATTTTAGATTAAAAAAATGAATTTGTACAATGCTATAAAATTTTAGATAAAAAAGAACTAATTTATACAATGCTATAAAATTTTAGATAAAAAAGAACGAATTATAGCATTGTATAAATTCTTTTTTTATCTAAAATTTTCTAACATTGTATAAATTCTTTCTTTTTCTTTTAAATCTAAAATATTACAGCATTGTATAAATTCATTTTTTAATCTAAAATTTTCTAGAATTGTATAAATTAATTTTTTTCACATCTTACACGTATTTGTAAAATTTAAACAATGTTTGTAAATCCCAGGGCCTGAAGATGATGTCAATAAAGATCGAACGTTGGCACGATAAAGAAAATGTTTTTCTAAAACCTACGTCACACCTGCCGCATCTCACGATCACTTTTAATAATATTTAATACGGTACATTTACTACTTCAAAATAATTGAAATAAGAGAAAAATCACGGTAACATAAAAAAAAATTCTCCATATCCACATAGTTAATCTGCTTTTGATTTTTTGCGTTTAGTATTTTCACAGTCAATAAACACCATTCCTTGTTAAACATATTGAAAAAAGGAACTTCTCAACTCCATGAAGATTTAAATTGCCTGTTCGAACTGTTATACTGTTTTTCTAGGAACAACGTGTGCTTAGCTATTAAAACTTAATAATTTCCTTTTTGCAGAAACATTTTTATATAATATGCTTATACTAAAACGTCTTACAGATTCTAAAGTTTACAATTTTAATAATTTGTTTAAGTTAAGAAAACACTTGGCGAAGATTCACAGCTTAGAACAAACTTACACAAACGAAACTAACAAATATTATTTTTTTGGTAATAGATTAACATAATAAGATTCTAATTCTGTTTTCTTTTTTCGGGCTGTTTTTTTTTAAATTTACTTCATTTGGGTTGTGTTGGTACTAATCAAACCCATTTGCCTTTTGCTTGTTTTATTTAAGAGATCGATTTGCGGAGCATCCGACCCACATCATCAGTATTTAGTTTCTTAAATGTACAGGTTTACATATTATATTAGAAAATAAAATTTTACAGTTAAATGTATATAAAAAAATAATTCAATTATGTTAAGAATTTCTTGATCACTCACCTCGTTTCTGATCCGGAAACACATAAAGAGGTAGGTTCCCCCTAGGTTACGTATAGCCAATGTGTGGCGTTATTTCTATATGTTTTTTATTTTATTATTTTTTTGGTTTGTATTTTATACTTAATTTTACATTTTTAATTTACTATCTTTCGTTTTATGTATTAATTATTTTTATAGCAATACGTGTTATGTTTTGGCATTTTGATTTATTAAATTTCACATTATTTTACGTACGTTTTTTAATTACGTATTAAAACGTTTGTATACATTGAAATGTTAAAAGTGTCACATAACTCGAGTCTAATTTGTCGAATTATTGTTATCGATGAGACTTTATTCCGGCAACGGAAATGGAATGGCAGTGCCATGTTCGTGACACCTTAAATAATCTCAGCGTTTCAAACCTAAAATATTTTGTAATAGACTAAGTTCTGTAAGATCCGCTTGAGTTCCCTCGACAACAGGCTATTCGTAGAGTCAGCACAAAAACATTAGCATTTTTTGTATAATAAAATTCAATCTAAAATTTTCACTTGGTTTATTTCAAAACTAATTTTTTCATAAATTCAAATAATAAAATTAGGTTTTTATTTAATATAATCTTATTTTATGTAATGTAATACTTTTATTTAATATAATACAAAAGCCGGGACGGGCAGATAATTAGGAAAAATTTGGACTTAAATTTGTTTCTTTCTAAACAAGTACAAGAGACTGTATAAAGTAAAAAATGCACGTGTAACGTAGAAATTAGGCAATTATTTGTTTTAAATTTCTCACGGATTGATTTTTGAATACAACTACAATGAATAGTATATTGGATTTTTACCTCACAGGCGTTATTTAATTGAAAAATAGAAAAACTACTAAAATTACAAAGAGAAATTATTTCTCAGTGCCAGAGTAAAGGTGAAAGGAGTAAAAAATACAGATTAATTAGTTACGAAAACATGACAGGTAGTGTGATAAGGGAACAAGAGAGATAAGGGAAAATACAGAGGAACGTTTGATTGCTGATAAACAACTATGTGGTGAGTAGCCTGGATTTAATTTGCACATGCAACCAACATTACTTTAATTATGAAAATGTACCATTATTAATTTAAATTATGCTAGAATATGATGTTCCTTGTTCGCCCTGCAGATAATCTATGTAGGGTTCCAATCTTTGTAGAGGTCATTAGACGGGTGAAAAAAGACTAAATTCTGGGTTCACCGAGCTTTCGGCACTTTATAGTGCCATCATCAGGGCATATTTGATTACAAATTTAAATAAATACAAAACGACATACAATTGTTATATTAATTGTTAATTGTATGTTGTTTTGTATTTATTTGAATTTGTAATAAAACAGGCTCTGATGATGGCACTATAAAGTACCGAAAGCTCGGTGAACCCAATATTTAGTCTTTTTTTCACCCATCTAATGACCTCTACGAAGATTGGAACTTTACATATGCTAGATTAGTTAACTATATTATAAACAAATTTTCAATTGAAATTAACTTTTATTTTTTATGTTAATAGTATCTAAATTAAAATTTGAAACAAATGTGAATATTTGACTAAAACGATAAGGGGGTTATTTTTTATATGTGGCTAAAGCATTTGATCCATGTTGAAGTAGCGGATAGGGCGGTCAGAGAAGCCGCCAGAAAGCCACTGACGCTTCTCAGCATATTTAAAATCATTAATTTCAAATATAGTAAATGGACAATGGAAAAACGTCTGGGCTTGGAAAAATAGAAATAAACCCTGGCAAACTGTGACTAAGAAAGAACCTGGTCCATGAAAAACGGACTGAAAACGAAGCCAACTGACAGGACTACGCATAGGCTATACAAAAGTAAGATAAGAGCAGCTTCTGGCCGGAATTCAATTATGCTTATGTCAAAAGCTTGACTTACACATGGTGGCCTTTTTAAACGGCCCCGCTGAATTTCTCTTGAACCAATGACGTTATAAAAACAAAAGGTTTTTAATATTTTTTAGGCTTGTTTCAAAGTTCACCTTTTGCTCCGGACTGTGGGATGGATGCGGACTTTCCATGGGCCCTAGGTGCCTTGTTAATGGTTTTTATCCGCATCCAGCTGAAACAGTCCGTAAACAGATAGAAAGGGTACGAACTATAGTCAAGTGGGAAGCCTTGGTGACCTCCTGTCGGCTCTGGTAGCCGCTCGGCTCCGGAGGGGGTTGGACTGACGTTAGCCTATCCAATCTAGACGACGTACGTGGCTGGATGTAGGTACAAAGCAAAAAAAAAAAAAAATTACCATTTTTTGTAGAAAAATTGTACAGGGTAGCTCAGGCCTAGTTCAATTTTAAAATTTCAAATAATCCCCTAAATATCCTGACAGATGCTGATAGATGATTTTAAAGGATTTTTTATGCTGAAAACAATGGTGCACTCGGATTTGAAATTGGTCAAAAAATTACGAAATTATGGTAAAAAAATTGGATAAAAACCAGTCATTTGGTTTGCTATTTATTAATCACATTTCATGTTCGAAGTACTTGTCTTGCGTAAAGATGCAAAGTTTGTACTTTTTGACCACTCTTCACCAGTACTCAGAGCGATAGTCAGGGGAGATGAGTTGACAAGCATTTTCTATCTTTTGCCGCAGTTCTTCAAATGAGGATGCTGGGTTATTATTGGCGTAGACAATGTTTTTTAAATGGCCTCACTGAAAATAGTCAAGTGGAGTTAATTCGG